TGGAGAACATAGCTAGACCCCATCTCTACAAAAATATTAAAAATTAACCAAGTGTGTTGGCAGGTGACTGTAGTCCCAGCTACTTGGGAGGTTGTGGTGGGAGGATCACTTGAGCCCAGGAAGTCAAGGCTACAGTGAGCCATGATCACACCACTGCACTCCAGCTGACAAAGTGAACCCCTGTTTCAAAAAACAGAAAGAAAACCTTTATCAAAAATGTGCAAAACCTCTATAATAAAAGCTACAAAATATTGCTGAGAAATCTAACAAACAAATAAATGATTATTTGTATTTGGTGTTGTCTTTAGATGGAGGTGACATTCTTTTCTAGCTTTATTAAAAAAAAAAAAAAATAAATGGAGTGGGATGAAGCCTGGGCCTTGAAGAAGGAATAGGACAAGGAAGTCCTAGAGGAGGCCAGGAAGAGAAGAGCCTGGGTGTGTATAGGAAGTCACAGCCTTCTGCCTGTCTAGGAGGGAGGCCACACAACTGGGACACTGTTTCTGGGACCAGATAAGGGATATGGTGAAAAGAAAACATGCTTCCCTTTCATGTACGGCTTACAATTGTCTTGTGGACCATATCTGGTGATATGTATGCCACATTTTCAGAAAAATTTCAATATCATTTTTATCAGCCTCAGAGCTAGCTATCTATCATATGAGCAGAATGTGTGCTTGTTGGACATTTATACTGTTTCTAGTTGATGTTTGTATGAGCATGCTGTACTGAATGTCCCTGTAGCTAAGTCTTTGCTCACAATCGCAATAATTTTATAAAGAGAAATTATTGGGAACAGGAGAGTGAGTGTGAGGAAAGGGAATGCAAGAGCAAAGGACATAAACAATTTGAAGGCTTCAGATAAGTAATTTTCAATTGTCCCAATTAACATTCTAACACAAGCATATAATGATATCTGCTTCCCCACGTCCCATTATCACCGAGTATTATTTTTTTTTAAATGGTGAGATTTAATTACATCTTAAATGGAAAAGACATCTTTCTTTAAAAAGTGACAGGATGTCTGCAGATGTACAGGCATCAAGAGAGATTATCAGTAGGCAAGTTCATGCTGCCTCCCTGTGGCACATAAAATACTGACAAGATAGAAAATCAAATCCAACCAGATAGGGACTATCTAAGCAAGTCATCAACATTAACTTATTTAGAGCTAAAGTTTTAGAAAGTGGGTGGAAGAAACACACACACAAAATTGACTTGATCTTAGCATATTAGAGAATATAGGAACTAGAAGAAAAACATTCTTACCCATGACTAGAACATGTGTGACATGATTGCACATGATACACTCAGAGATGATTTATTAAATTGAGTGATAACAAAAGAAAATTGACTTTTCGATGTCAGGCTCCAAGGAACGATCAATCACAACTACCTTGGAGGGCTAAGGAACTACTTATATCTTGTGTATTTCATATATGTTTCTCCTACAAGACAGTGAAGAACAGGTGTAGTCTTCTAAGGTAACTATTTCCCTGAAAAGAACACTCATAACAGTAATCATGAACTCTGTGTCTTCGGCTAAGTTTGGGGGAGAAAGTTTATTTTTACTTTGAAATTGTTTCTGTGTGCAAAACACTATGTTCCCTAGGGACAAAGCAGGAAAGGAAAAGAGAAAAAAGCTGCAAAGACAAATGATGGTCTTTGTACTAAAAGGAGTTGTTAATCTTTTGCTGTTTTTCAGGGTTCCATCCTCTTTTCTGTTTACTTGTTTCTACATGATCTCATCTAATCCCAGGACTGCAAATGCCACTGGCACAGTAATCCACTTGCTCATTCGATCTTTGACTTAGATTAACTGTGGATAAACAGTATTGTTTGCATGAGACTTGATGTTGGAGACACTGACATCAAATAATCACATCAATAGATATGTATTTATAGATTATGTTAAGTAAGGGAAAAAGTCCAGGTTACCATGAGAATGTATAACTTAGTTTACTGGTTCTTAAATATTTTGCTCTCATACTCCTAATGCTCTCACATCTGTTATGATTGATTACTAATTGATTGAGAATTGAGTACTTGCTTAGATTCTTCAATCATTTTTTAAAAAATAAAGTACTAAAATTAGAGACTACCTGACTTGAAAAATGATTTTCTGCTTAGCCATTAGAATGGTCTACAATCTTAATTTCTGGGAAGCTTAACAAAGGGGCTCTAAAAAATTATGTGTGTTATTATTTCACTTTTAGTTTCCTTATTTAAAACATATACTCAGAAAATACACTGTTAATTTTAAGATCCTTTTTCAGAACTCCTTTTTCAATGAGGTATAGCATACATATATAAAGTGCACTCATCTTTAGTGTGCAGATCAATGAATTATTATTATTATTATTTTGAGACAGCGTCTTGCTCTGTCACCCAGGCTGGAGTGCAGTGGCACGATCTTGGCTCACTGCAACCTCTGGCTCTCAGGTTCAAGCACTTCTTGTGCTTCAACCTCCTGAGTAGCTGGGAGGTTACAGGTGTGCACCAACACGCCTGGCTAATTTTTGTATTTTAGTAGAAATGAGGTTTTGCCATGTTCAGGCTGGTTTTGAACTCCTGACCTCAAGTGATCTGTCTGCCTTGGCCTACCAAAGTAGACAGATGTGAGCTACTGTGCCTGACCAGATCAATTAAGTTTCAATTTTATAATGTGTTCATTTCCACAAAACCTTGGAGTTGAAGTCTACAGCCTCAATAAAATAAAATACCTCTTTATTTCAAGTTTTAAGTACCTTAAGACTTCTTACTTACATTTTTGAGTTTGCTCTAACAGAACTCTCCCTTGGGTACATTGTATTGTTTAAAAATGTCAAAGAGATAGAAAAAAAAAATGTACTTACATTTCCTAGGGTTTTCAGATAAAATGTACAATGACCAATTAAATTTGAATTTCAGAAGCTAATAATTTTTCAGTGCTTTAGTATATCTGGAATATACTCATACTAAAAAATTGTTATTTATCTGCAGTTCAAATTTAACTGGGGTTCTGTATTTTTTCTTGCTAAATCTGGCAACTCTACTCATGTTCAACTCCACATTGTGTCTAATTATCAACAGTCCTACATGCACCAAAATATTCCACTTCTAATGTTGTGCTTTTGTCTCACAGAAATTTGAATAATATGGAAAAAGACACAATGGCCCTACAAAGGAAGGTTTCACTAATGCTAGTATTTGAAACAGTTGCTTATTTGTTCAGTGTTTGAGGGGAATTTACACTTCAGTGCAACAGACAATAATAAATATAGGCAATGAAAACATCTTTTTTGAGATGGAGTCTTGCTCTGCCACCCAGACTGGAGTGCAATGGTGTTATCCCAGCTTACTGCAACCTCTGCCTTCCGAGTTCAAGTGATTCTCCTGCCTTAGCCTCCTGAGTAGCTGGGATTACAAGTGTGCACCATCACACCTAGCTAATTTTTGTATTTTTAGTAAAGACAAGGTTTTACCACTTTAGCCAGGCTTGTCTTGAAATCCTAACCTCAGGTGATCCACCCACCTTGGCTTTCCAAAGTGCTGTGATTACAGGTGTGAGCCACCGCACCTGGCTAGGAGACATTTTTATTTATAAATGGGAAACTGGGCAACAGTGAAAAGGAAGGAGAAAAGAAGAACCAACTAGCTGCTTCTGGCTTGGAGGTATTTTGGTTCTTTTAGGCAGTTCAACCTCAGAAAAAAGCACATTTAGAAGATAAGGGTCTGAAAATTGATTTCTTTGGGACTGTTATGCCTGTATACCCCTTTGGAAAGCTTTTGGGAATTTCTCAGTGTACAGAAGAGTATTCCAGTCATGACTACACCTAGACTCAGAAGTCTTCTCAGAGGCAGCAGCCTTTAAGCTGAGAACTGAAGGATGAGCATAAGTCAATTGATGTATGGATAACATAAGATTGATCAGATGTTCACAGAGACTTCTAGCAGATTTCAAGTTAAAAAGCATATGTTAGAAAGCAGTATGTGTACCTTGCCTTTCAACTTTGTTTACGGTTTCCTTTTTGGTGAAAAAGCTTTTTAGCTTGATGTAATGACATTTGTCTATTTTTGCTGTTGTTGCTGTGCTTTTGAGGTCTTACTAAAAAAAATCTTTGCCCAGAGCAATGTCCTGTAACATTTCCCTAAAATTTTATTCTAGTAATTCCATAGTTTCAAGTTTTAAATTTAAGTCCTTAATCCATTTTGAGTTGATTTTTATTTATGGTGAAGGATGAGGATCTGGTTTAATTCTTCTACATATGGATATCTAGTTCTCTCAGCACCATTTATTAAAGAAACTGTCCTTTCCCCAGTGTAGGTTCTTGGTGCCTTTGTCAAAAATAGGTTAGCTCTAAGTGTGGAATTTATCTAGGAGGAAATATCTGCAAATCATCCCTCCAAGAAGGGATTAACAATCAGGATCTATCAGGAACAAAATAATGAAATAGCAAAAAACCAAATAATCCAATTAAAGGATGGGCAAAAGACCTGAATAGACATTTTTTCAAAAGGAGACACACAAATGGCCAGCAGAGATATGAAAAAAAAAAGTTCAGCGTCACTAATCATCAGAGAAATGCAAATCAAAATGGCCATGAGTTATCATCTCACCCCAGCCAGAATGACAATTACCAAAAAGACAAAAAATAAATCCTGTTGAGGATGCAAAGAAAGGGGAACATCAATACACTCTTGGTGTGAATATAATTAGAACAGCCACCATGGTAAATAGTATGTAAGTTTCTCAAAAACACACAAAGAAGATCTGATAGACATCCCAATGAACCCGAGAGAATTGTTACACATTGCATATATATATATATCAAAATATCATATGTATTCTCAAAATATGTACAGCAATGATATATCAATAAAACTACAAAAAGAGAAAATATGTATGTGTGTGTGTGTGTGTGTGTGTGTGTGTGTGTGTGTGTGTTAAAGTGTCCCAAGGTCCCCTGTATTATTTTAAAAGAGGGTAAAAATATTAACTAGTGAACAATAAAGTCAGGATGGCTAAAGGTGATCCCAAGAAACCAAAGGGCAAGATGTCTGCTTATGCCTTCTTTGTGCAGATGTGCAGAGAAGAACATAAGAAGAAAAACCCAGAGGTCACTGTCAATTTTGCAGAATTTTCCAAGAAATGCTCTGAGAGGTGGAAGACAATGTCCGGGAAAGAGAAATCTGAATCTGATGAAGTGGCAAAGGTGGATAAAGTGTGCTATGATCGGGAAATGAAGGATTATGGACCAGCTAAGGGAGGCAAGAAGAAGAAGGATCCTAATGCCCCCAAAAGGCCACCGTCTGGCTTCTTCCTGTTCTGTTCAGAATTCTGCCCCAAGATCAAATCCACAAACCCTGGCATCTCTATTGGAGACGTGGCAAAAAAGCTGGTGAGATGTGGAATAACCTAAATGACAGCGAAAAGCAGCCTTCCATCACTAAGGGGGCAAAGCTGAAGGAGAAGCATGAGAAGGATGTTGCTGACTGTAAGTCGAAAGGAGAGTTTGATGGTGCAAAGGGTCCTGCTAAAGTTGCTTGGAAAAAAGTGGAAGAGGAAGATGAAGATGAGGAGGAAGATGGAGGAGGAGGCGGAAGATGGAGGAGGAAGATGATGGAGGAGGAGGAAGAGGAGGAGGAAGGAGGAAGGAGGAAGGAGGAAGGAGGAAGGAGGGAGGAGGAGGAGGAATAAAAAAATTATCTGAAAAAAATTAACTTTAGAATTTGGTCAATTAAGTGTTAAAAATTGTTGAGTGGCCACCAATAATTAGATAGTACAAGAAAAGATAGTACCAGAAGACAGCAGAAAACAGTAGATAGTTCCAGAAAGACAGTACGAGAAGATAATACCAGAAAAAATTACTTCCCAAGTGGTAAAGCAGAAAATGGCGGGGGGAGGGGGGCTGTAGGGGGAAGGTAGGGAGTTGAAAGGAGAAATGTAAGTATAGAATAAAATTAAATCAATTCAAGAGAAAGCATTCCTGAAGAAATCTAGAAAAAGTAGGAAGACTTAACACATTAAAAAAATGGTAGAAATCACAAAATGTTAGAAATCATAACCAATGTCAATGGACCAAACGGAAATGCAAACTTTCGAGACTGATTAAACAAAGAGTAAACAAATAACATTGGGCTACATGTTGTTTATAAGAGCCACACTAAAGTATAAGGACAAGAAGGAACGTTAGTAAATAAAAGGATGTAAAAAGGTTCACTATGGCAAATACCAACTCAATGAGTGTATTTAGCCATGCTAAATAAATGTCAGGTAAAATACCTGAAGGCAAGGCAAAAATTTTCTTGACAGGAAGAAAGTTGTTACAAATTGATAAAATGGTCAATTCATCAGAAATTTTAAATATGTACTTTATAACAAAGTATAAAAAAGACAAATAGGCAGACTTACACGCTGATAAAAGTGACTTTCTGTAACTGATAAAGCTGACAAACACATCAGTCACGATATAGTAACACTTGAACACCATTAACAAACTTGATCTAATGGACGTAAATTTTAAAAATGACTAGGTACGAGGACAGTAGCAAGTATCAAGAAATTTTAAGTAACTGGTATCATTAGAGACCACATTCTCCGGCACAGTGCAATTAATGCAAGTAAGTTACAAACGAATATCAAAAAAAGCTAATAACACATTTTCACATACTTGGAAATTAAGGAAAATTATTTTTTACCCGATAGCAAAAGAAATCTCAATTGGAATTAGGACAATTTTAAACTGAATGACATTAAAAACTTAAGACTGATACAACGAAAGTAGTACTTGAAGGGAAATTCATAGCTTAAATATGTTTTTCAGAAAATAAGAAAGGTTAAAAATAGAGAGTAAACATTAAACTGAAAAAAATGAAAAGTAATAAAGTCAGAGAAACAAAATAGAAAGAATACAGATAAGGAAAAATAAAATGGAGAACAATTACAACAAGAAAAAAACAATACAGAGGATTAATAAGACTTGTCAAGAAGAAAAATATATAATTAACATGCACAATAAAGGAGGAAATGGTAGAAAGAAACAGACAACTTGACTCCATCTGTGAGCATGAAACAACTGATGTGGAAGGCAAGATTTTGCCTCCCCCAAAACCCTACCCAGATGACTTTATAGTTGAGTTCCTAATTTTTCAAGGGACAGTTAATTCCTGTCCTTATTATATAATGTCATAGAAATTGCTGCAGAAGAGAGAAAAATAGTGAGAGTTGCATGGCTCATTTTATGAGACTAGTGTAATTTTTCAAATACAGTTTTTCTTTAAAAATAACTACAAATTTACAGAACAGTTCCAAGAAGAGTAGAAGGAACAGGTCTCCTCCCGATGTGAAAGTAAACTGCTGACATTTTGCGCAATAACCCCCATTACTTTGTCTATTTCCTATAAACAAGAGCTTTTACATACATAACCGTAATATACCACTGGGATCAGGAAATTAACATTACATACATTAATACCATCTAATTCGAGGACCCAATTCAAGATTCTCCAAAATAGAGACATAGAATTAATTGCAATAACTTAGCTAAATATCTGAATAGCTGGTGCTCGATAAATAGCCATTCCTTTCACTAATTCACTGGGGACTCCTAAGTTCTATCCTGGTAGTCGCAAGATGGATCTGTCTGCATGATCTCCAATCTTTGCACAGCCAGAAGTGGGGTGACACCACCCCAATGTGTCACACTCATGTGACAAACTACATCCTGTCTACCACATTCACCCATCCAGTGTCTCTCTATGGCCTCTGCCTGAGAGGCAAGACTGGCAGGCTGCCTACCTGGAGCCTAACGCCAGCTTCTTGACCTCGCAGTGGGTACCACCCTTACCGGACCGACACAGCCTCCACCCTCGGAAGGCAGAGACAGCACCAGGCGGGAAGCTTTGCGCAGCTGCAGGCCTCCCCCGACCGCGCGGCCCGCATGTCTGCGCATGCTCGCTGGGGCCCCTGCGGAATGACGAGGGGAGGGAACCGGTCACGAGTTTGCCGCCATCTTGGGCTCTAGCAGTATTTTTTCAGCTGCGGAAGCACGGCCTGACCCGCAGCAGAGACTCTTGGTAAACCCCGCCTCTGCTTATGTATGGTTAGCCTGCTCCAGGTACTACTGGTTTCCATGGTACTTTCCCACTTTTCTCCTGTGACCGCAGGGCTTTGGCTTCCCAGGGTCGGGGCTGCGATCTGAGGTCTGACGTGGGGTCCTCAGCTGCTGTCTGTTCTCCTGCCTCTAACGGCGGCAGCTCAGACTCAGCCCTTCCTCAAAAAGTGCAGTTATCAATGAGGGGAGCCCCCAACAGATGGGATCAGTGATGGCTGATCCTAATGCCACGCTGTGTGTGAGTGTGAGAGAGATCCTAAGGCCAAGGTGCATGTGAGTGTGAGATACCATCATGCTAGGGTTGTGTGCGGAAGAGATTGCGATGCCAGGGTGTGATTGAGTGTGAGAGAGATCCTAATGCCAAGGTGTGCATGAGTTGTTGCGTGTGTGTGTGTGTGTGACAGAGAGAGAGAGAGAGAGAGAGAGAGAGAGAGTTATTGTAGTCCAAAAGACAAAGATAGTGAAGGTAAGGAGGTGCATTTCTGAAGAAATTTATTTTTGTTGAGTTACTTAATTGAAGAAATTTATTTTTGACGAGTCAGTTGTACCACTTTAATAATATGTTCATTTTTTTTAACCTTTTGAAATTGGCAAGAAATATAAGCTCTTTACAGCATGTCAGAGAAAACAGAGGGTAAACTGAATTATCTTTTACCCTCTGGAACTCTTTTTCCAGTTCCATCTCCTAATTTATTTGTTTGATATGTACCTGTCACACTTTCCTCTATTTATGTACAAACACATATTCATGTATATATGTAAGATATCATTTTAATATCTGTTTATATTACTCTGACAGTCATACTCCCAAATTAAATAGGTCTTAAGATCTATTCATCAGAACCAAAAAATTTTTATTAGTAATTACAAATATTAAAGTAGATCCTCTATGAATTATTCTGTTCTACATTAATGAACTTTCATGTTATCTATAAGGGCCTGTGCGTGTGTGTCTGTTTTATAGCTTTAGTGAAGTACATCTGAGGAATAGCAGACTCCACATATTTGAAGTATACAATTTGATGATATTTGGCACACGTATGCTCTATGGAAACCACTATAAACAACATCATAAGCGTATCCATCACCTTCAAAAGTTTCCTTTGGTCCCACTCCAACTCAAGCTCCACTTCTACAAGTCAATCACTTTCTGTTACTTTAAGTTAATTTGCATTTTCTAGGATTTTATACTAATGGATTCCTACAATGTGTATTCTCTTTGTGTTTCAGCATAACTATTTTGAGAATCATCCATGTTTTTAGAAGTTTCATTGCTTAATTCCTTTTTATTGTTGGATAGTTTCCATTTTATGCTGTATAACCGTTGTATGGTTCCATTGTTTATTGTGTTGATAAACATTTGGGTTGTTTTGTTTTCGGCTCTTACAAGTAAACTTGCTGTGAACAGTCTCCTACAAGCTTTTGCATGGCCATATACTTTAATTTATCTTGAGTAAATACTTGAAAGTGGATTGACAGAATCCTGTGGAAAGTACATGATATATATTTAACTTTTGAAGAAACTTCCATACTGTTCTCCAAAATGTTTGTACCGTTTTACAGTTCTTTCTGCAATCTGTGACCTTTCCAGTTACACCATACCCTCACCACTGTTTGGCATGGTTGCCCTTTAATTTCAGTCATTCTAGTGGATGTTAAGTGTTATCTTAGTGCAATTTAATTTGCATTTGCTTAGTGACAATTGATGTCTTTTTCAAGTGCTAATTTTCCATCAGTAAATCTTTGGTAAAGTGGCTGCTAAATATTTTACCTATTTTTAAATTGGATTATCTTTTTACTATTGAGTTGTAAAAGTTCTTTATATATTTTAGAGACAGGTGCTAGACTTTATGTTTTCCAAGTATTTTCTCACTCTCTGTGGCTTGCCTTTTAGTTTTTTTACTGTGGCTTTGGAAGAGGAAAATATTTTAATTCTGATAAACTCTGATGTATTGATTTTTTCCCCCTCTTTGGTAGTTCAGAGTTTTTGTGTCCTATTTAAGACATCTTTGCCAAATCAAGGTACCCAAAATTTTCTATTTTTTTTTTCTGAGAAGTTTTATATATTTAGTTCTTATATGTGGGTTTATAATCCATTTACAATTATTTTTTTGTGTATGGCCAGTTTTTTTTTCTCTCTCTTTTAAGCATATGGCTATCTGTTACAGCATCATTTGTTGTATTACTGGCACCTTGGCTGAAAATCATCTATCTTTTATTGATAAATGATTGACCTTATATATCTGGGTCTTATTTCTGGATTCTCTGATCTGTTCCAGTGAATTATGTTTCCACACCAGTACTACATCTGTACCACAGTGTCTTGAGTGCTGTAACTTTATAATTAGTCTTCAACTCAGGTAAGCATAAGTTCTTAAACTTTAATCTTTTCCAGAAGCTTATTTATTTATAACTTATTTAGACTGTTCTGTTCCTTTGCATTTCCATAAAAAGGTTAGAATCAGCATTTGGATTTCTACCAAAATGCATCCCAGGATTTTAACTGGGATTATGTTAGTTCTATAGGTGACTTTGGGGAGAGTTGATACGTTAACTTTAATTTACGTCATCTAATTTCTCTCAGCAGTGTTTTGTAGTTTTAATCAATAAACATCTTTCAGTATGTATTTTTATATTCATAAGGATAGATTATCAAGAATAATCTTGGTACCAAAAGATGTGAGGATTTTAATATTAATGGTTCTACCAGTTTACATGACAAAAATACAAGAATTTATTTTCTTGCCTGGAACCTATGAACTTTCATTCTCTGTATCTTTCACTTGTTCTGGGTATAATCATTCATGTATCTTTTTTTTCTAACATAGTAAATGAAAGAGGAATTTTTATTTTTTTGTTTTACCCATACTAGTGATATGGAACATATTTTTTATGTTAAGGATGCTTTTAATCTATATTTCATGTTACAGTTTTTTTTTAAAACTCTGTCATTTATCTATTCATACGATATTCTTTTCTATAGAGCAATTTTAGCAGATATGTACCTAACTGTGTTTTTCATTCTTTTTATGACTTTTGGGTTTCTATCTTTGATTGTCCACCTTATCTTAAAGTATTTCAAATATTTTTCTAAATTTTCTTCTAACTTTATGACATTTTGAAGACTTTTGTCTCAGTTTTTTTCCTTCACTGTCAGAGAAGAAATATATGGTAATTTATAGAAAAATTAGAAGTGGAAAAATCAGAAAGAAGGAAAAAAATCACTTTTGCTTAATATAATCCTTGGGAAAGCAAGTGTTTTCTTTAAAAATTTATGATTAGTATTTATTTTTTGACAGAGTCTTGCTCTGTCAACGAAGCTGGAGTGCAATGGCATGATCTTGGCCAGGTGTCCCCAAACTTTTTACACAGGGGGCCAGTTCACTGTCCCTCAGACAGTTGGAGGGCTGCCACATAGTGTGCTCCTCTCACTGACCACCAATGAAAGAGGTGCCCCTTCCTGAAGTGCGGCGGGGGGCTGGATAAATGGCCTCAGAGGGCCGCATGCAGCCCATGGGCCATAGTTTGGGGACGCCTGATCTTGGCTCACTGCAACCTCTGTCCCCCAGGGTCAAGCCATTCTCCCACCTTAGCCTCCTAAGTAGTTGGGACCACAGGTGCATGCTACCACACCCACTAATTTTTGTACTTATCACATTGTGTTTCTTCTTCAATAGTTGATGAAATTTGGGTAATTTTCACTTTTAGCTATTAGGAATAATGCTACTAAGAATGGTTCTGTCCAAATTTTTGTGTGGATATATATTTCAGTTTTCTTTGGTATGTATCTGGTAATGGAATTGCTGTTTAACTTTCCGAGGAACCACCAAACTTTTCCAAAATTGCTGCACCATTTTATAATACCTCCAGGATTGTAGGAGGGTGCTAATTTCTCTACACTTGCTAACACTTGTAATTGTTTATTTTAAAAAATACAGCCATCCTAGTGTGTGTGAAGTGGCTTTTCATTGTAGCTTGCATTTTCCTAATGACTAATGATGTTTACTATCTCTTTTTATGCTTATTGGCCTTTTGCATATGTTTTTTGAGGAAATATCTAGTCAAATCTTTTGCTCATTTTAAGATTGCATTGTCTTTTTATTGTTAAGTTTGGGGTCTGTACGTGTATTGTGTATCCCCTTATGAGATAGATGATTTGCAGATATTTTCTGCCATTTTTAGGAATTGACTTTTCACTTTTCTGATGGGTCCTTTGGAGTACATTGCTTTTTAAACTTTGATGGTCCAATTTATCTGTTTTTTGTCTTTTGTCACTTGTGCTTTTGAAACCATATTTAAGAAGCCACTGTCTAATTAGGTTATTGTCTTGATATGTTTTCTGTTCCTTATAGCAATATCTGAAACTAGGTAATTTATAAAGAAAGGAATTTATTTCTTGAAGTTATTGAGGCTGAGAAATCCAAGGTCAAGGGGCTACATCTGGTGAGAGGCTTCTTGCTAGTGGGGACTCTGCAGGTCCTGAGGTGCTACAGGGCATCACATGGTCAGGGGGTGGGCATGCTAGTTCAGGTCCTTCTTCCTCTTCTTATAAAGCCACCAATGTCACTCCCTGATAACCTGTTAACCCATGAATGGATTAATTCATTCATAAGGACAGGACCCTCCTGACCTAGTCACCCCTCTTAAATGTCCCACACCTCAGTGATTAAGTTGCAATGTGAGTTTTGGAGGGGACAAACATTTAAACCATAGTAGTCATTCAGATTTATTTCAAATTTTTTAAGGGGTTGACAGCCTTAGTTCTTGCCCAAAGGTTTAAATCCATTTTCAGGTAATTTATGTACAGATGCACCTCAACTTACAATGAGATTACATCCTGATACACTCATTGTAAATTGAAAATACTATAAGTTGAAGATACATTTAATGCTGACAACAAAACAGATGGTCTGTGACTTACCATGGTTCAACATAGGATTTTCAACTTCACGATCGTGCGGAAGCAATACGCATTCAGTAGAAACTATACCTCCTTTATAAGTTGTAAAGAGCTCTTAGATTTCTATGGGATTATATCCCCAAAAATGTACTGTAAAGCTAAAAAATCTTAAGTCAAACCATTGTAAATATGAGAAGATTTCATGTATATTGTGTGAGGTTGGGGTCTAACTTCATTCTTTTGCATGTGGGTATCCATTTTTTTCAAGACTATTTATTGAAAATGTTTTTATTTTCCCATGAATAAACTTGG